CCCATCAATGATACTGGGGAGAGGAATGGCTTAGGATGGTCCAGTTAAGTGTAACAGGACGGAATGAACAATATTGCCAATGACGAGTATTCAGAAATCAGGAGACAGATGTAAACATCATAAGGCTAGGGGTGGGGGCAGTGGGAAGATTGTGGACATTTTTTATTCACCTTCTGGATTTGGAAGCATCAGGGTGCAGTGGCGTCACACTTTCAAGTTTTATCCCTGCAACCATGAGGGCTAGAAACATACTTGTTTATCAAAAAGGAAGGCGCAGATTTCCCCATGATTCCAAGAAGGCCAGGAACTGGCGCTTCAGGAACAGCCCCAAACATTGCGAGATTGGCGATAGACTCATGAGAGTTGGCAACACAGAGCTAAGTATGTACCTTTTTAGGCAGAGCAACTGCAATAAAGTTCCCGAGTGAGATCTTTTAGACTGAAATGGTCTGTTCCACGGAGAGTGGTGGGAGTTCCTTCAACTGGGTCATTTAAATTAGGACTGGAGAAAGTTTTGGAGAACATGCGTAGGGAACAATGTATGGACTAGAGGATGTAGCAGGTCTGTTTATACTGGCCACGTTAGGGCCTCTTCTTCTTACTTATTATTTGTATTGCAGTAACACCTAGGACCCCATTGTGGTAGATGCTGTACAGAACAAAAAGATGGTCCTGCTCCAAAGAGTTTATAATCGACGTATAAGACAGGATTGGTGGGGGAGCACAAGGAAATAAGACCATGCCTGGCAGTGGTCTCAGCAAACCAGCTTCCTAGCCGTTGTCAATTTTTTTTTGTAGGCATCATGATAAAGGAGAGTTTTAAGGGGGGATTTGAAGGAGGGACAATGAGATGGCTTTGCAGATATGTCCCAATATCATTGGCTGCCAGCATAAAAGTGCTTCAGTGTAAATAAATATTAAAAAAACAAGTTTTTATTAAAATGGTGCAAATTAGAAAAATGCTCCCCCGCTGCTGCTTGGATTGCTCTGTCCAAATCCCATGCGATCTCTTCTCTCTTCAGAAACCATTGAACGGCGGGCATCTCTGGCTAGCTCAGCCCATCCCAGCCAACTGCCCCCGCTCCTGCTGTCACTGGAGGAGACCTCGCCCTACAAACGGGTGGAGGAAGCGTTCCACTGCAAACTGAAAGGGCAGGTCATTGTGGACAAGAAGACCCTGGTCGAACTTCAGAACTTCCAGTCGGTGAGCCAATGTCACAGCCTGCACTTGCCCTGTCCTGCTGAGCTCTTCTGGGATGCCTTTCACCCATAGGGCTCTTAAGGAGAAAGGGAGAGCTGATCCCAGGAACCCATCTCCGGCCTGGCTGCTGGAAGTGAGCACTTGCCTTATTAACAGCTGGTCATGGTTGGGAGAAGTGGCATCTTCTCACCCACCATGGCCAATTCTACCCCTATTGAAATTAATGGGGAGTTTTGTCATTGACTTCATAGCGAACAAGAGCGAGCACTATATCTGCTTTCCGAGTGCCTACTTTGATCCTAAAACTCCTCCCCTTCCTCACCTCCTATGTCCAAACAGTTATCAGTTAGGTCCCCATTGTAGAATCTTTATTACAGCTAATTCTGTTCTGTTCTATTGTATCTAGGTTCTTATACCATGCTCATCACTGTAGTCTTTGATTGCCTTCCAGTAGTCGTTATAAGAGTTTGTCTGCACATGGAGTTATTTAAGACTAGCTATTCCAGACTAACTCCATGTGTGGACACTCTCTTATTCCAGAATGAAAGTGCCTTTTTCCAAATTAGTTAATCAGGAATATCTGTTCCATTTTACATTCACATTTTACCCTATCCTGGAATAATTTTCTTGTGTAGGCAAGCCCAAAATGGCAGCAAGAACCCTCCTGGGCCTTCCAGGCCCCTGGTGTGAATATATGGCTCCAGCAGTTACAAAAATCAGCATTTGACGTTGTCTGTTAGATGGGTCACGCTTTAGACTAAGCTCCCATTTATAAATAACTTAGAAAGGGTCACTAAAGGGTTAATCAGTGTTATAAGGATAGTACCGATATGAGCAGCATGTTATCGATGTCAGTAGGAGGTGCTATTAATGGTTTTAAACCATGGTTATAAGCAACCTGTTGGCAATGATTACCCATGTATTAAAACATCTATGAATCCTTTATAAATTATTTGTAAATGGAAGGGTAATGTAAAGCGTGCGTGTTAGCTGCAAAGGGGGGAGTGAGTGCTAATTATTCTCATTATTACTATTGGGCAAACTTGATGCAGGCACAATGGACATGCAGTTCCATGACGCCATTTTTAGTGTCATTTTCCAGAGCCCAACCGAGATCTTAAAGTGTCTTAACCGGCACCACGTAGGGCTGCTGGTTGCCATCAGTTACTCAGTCAACAGTCAGGTGTGTTCATGCTGTTAATTAGCGACTGTGCTGCACCCCAGAAGTGGCTGCATTTCCATGGCAGCTGTACAGACTTCTGTCTATGAAGGGGCCTATCCAACAGATCTTATTCAGTTGAGTAGTCCCATAGCTAATGAGACTCTTCAAGGCTTCAGGGTTAGGGACACAGTTTGCAGACCTGCAGTGGTGATTTCTGAGGCAGGGTGAGACAGCTGCCCAGATTTTCTGCAGGTGCTGGCACAGGAGCAAGGTTGTACTTGAAGCAGTGAGAGAGATGTGCTGCCTCGTTAATTAGGAGTGAGAATGTGAATAGACCTCTTAGCAATCAGTGTGTGGGCTGGGGTTTCCCAAGCCTTATTATCATCAAGTCTGATTACTCCTGGCCCCAGAGCTGATGTGGGAGGGCTGGCAGGTCAGATGGGCCTCTGTGTGCCAACGCTTCATTTCAGCTTCTGGACAAGAAGTGCCTGGTTTTAGCTTGTGCTCTAAGGCCGTCTCTCTCAACCAGGGGTACGTGCACCCCTGAGGTACGCAGATGGGGGTACATCAACTCGTGTAGATATTTGCCTAGTTTTACAACAGGCTACATAAAAAGCACTAGCGAAGTCAGTACAAACTAAAATTTTATACAGACAGTGACTTGTTTATACGGCTGTATAGACTAGACACTGAAATGTAAGTACAATATTTATATTCCAATGGATTTATTTTGAATTCTATGGTCAAATGAGAAAGGGAGCAATTTGTCAGGAACAGTGTGGCTGTGACACTTTTTGTATTTTGATGTCTGATTTTTGTAAGCAAGTGGTTTTTAAGTTTGATGAAACTTGGGGGTACGCAAGACAAATCAGACGCCTGAAAGGGGTACAGCTGTCGGGAAAGGCTGAGAGCCACGGCTCTAAGGTACGGCTCTTGGTGGTGGCGGACACGCCTGCTGTGAGGAGAGCATCATCTCTGGGGCAATCGGGGTGAGAGGAAGGAAGCCCGTCGTCACTGATTTCATAGAACTAAGATCTCAAGGGTTTGACGCTTCCCCAATTAAAGTGGGTAGGTAGCAACTCCGCTCCTGACCCAAAGCCCTTTGAAGGTCATGGAAAGACTCCCATTGGTTTCACTGGGCGTTGGATCAGGACCTAGCTGTTCTAAAGTCTCCGAGACTGGAGCCTCCATTCTCCTGACCTGGGGTATGTTCAAAGGGCAGCAGAGCTTTCTTCTCCCCGAGGCAGAGACTTCATAAGTCCCATCCCTCTGTGCTATAGTTATTCCCCAGTGATATTCCCCGGTTTTACTATATCCTCTACA